TGCCCTCAAAACAGCCAACAGCTGCCTTGTCCTTCTTATACTGAGGAGCCTAGAACTGGACACAGCTCTTCAGACCTCCCTCAAGCTGCTAGCAATGCTCTTCCTGATGATAACCAGGATGCCATTGGTCTTTGCGAAAAGGGCATGAAAAGCAGGCAAGCCCTATGACAGCTATCTAAGGTGACACTAGGTAATTCCTGACAGCCTTCAAGCCAATACATTTCCTCAGTAAAGCCCAAGCTGGCACACAAGTTGATCTCTGCTACCTACTACAAAAATCACATGGCAGAAAAGAATCTTGGACACTTGTCTGTACTGGAGTAGGAGGGTTGCATTTTAATGAGAAGGGAGTTGAGCAGCATGTGAAGCAGCCCTCCTGGGACTCATCCTAGGAACATCCAAAATTGCAGGAGACAATTTTTTAACTTTAAGGTGATGTTCTGCAAACAGTCAGGCAAGTGAAGCTGATTTTCTACTAGTACATAGGGATGGGGTTAGGAAAGCCAAAGTCAGCCTGGAATTGGGTCTGGTGGGAGATATGGCGGGCAACAAGAATGGCTCCTACGAGTGCATTAGCAGCAAAAGGAAGGTTGGGGAAAATGTGGGCCTGCTGCTGGATGGGGCAGGAGACTTGGTGACAAAGAACATGGAAAAGACCAAGGTATTTAAGGCTGCCCTCACCTCAGTCTTTACTGGTAAGACCAGCCTTCAGCCCTGAGACCACAGGTGAAGTCTGGAGCAAGGAAGATTTACCCTCAGTGGAGCAGGACTAGGTTAGGGAACACTAAATAGACCAGACACACACAAGTCCATGGGACTGATGGGATGCACCAATGAGTGCTGAGGCTGTTTTCATTGCAAGGCAATTCTTGGTTTCCTTTAAAAGGCCATGGCAATTCCGAGAGGCTCCTGAGGACTCAAAGAGTGTGAATGTCACTCCCATCTTCAAGAAGAGCAAAAAGAAGAATCCAGGGAACTCCAGGCCTTTCAGTCTCACTTTGATCCCTGGGAAGGTCATGGAACAACTAATCCTGGACACCATTTCCAGGCACACAAAGGACAACAAGGTGAATATGAGTAGTCAGCAAAGGAGAAATAGCTTTATACAGCGAGATGACTGGCTGGGTAGATGAGGGGAGAACAGTGGATGTTTTTTATCTCAACTTTACTAAGGCTATTGACACTGTCTCCCATAACATACTTACAGACAACCTGATGAAGTACTGGGTAGGTAAGTGGACAGTGAAATTAAATGAAAGTCAAATGAACAGCTGGGCCCTGAGAATTATCATCATTAGCATGAAGTCCAGCTGGAGGCTAGTGGTGCACCCCAGGGCTTGATACTGGGGCCAGTACAATTTAACCTTAATGAAAAGTGTGGATGATAGGGCAGAGTGCACTCACAGCTGGATTGCAGAGGATGTGACACTGGGAGGAGTGGCTATGCCACCATTCAGAGGAACCTCAACAGACTGGAGAAATGGGCAGAGGAGAACCTTGTGAAGTTCAACAAGAGGAAATGTAAAGTCCCGCACCTGGAGAGGAACAGCCCCATCCACCAGTACACACTGGGGCTGACCAACTGGAAAGCAACTCTGCAGAGAAGGACGTGGTGTGAGGGGTAGGGGTCCTGGTGGACAACAACTTGACCATGAGCCAGCAACATAACCTCATGATAAAGAAGGCCATGCATCCTGGGCATTAGGCAATGTGTTGTCAGCGGCCCATGATCCTTCCCCTCTACTCAGCACTAGTGAGGCCACATCTGGAGTATTATGTACAGTCTGGGCTCCCCAGTATGAGGGAGGCACAGAATTACTGGTCCAGCAAAGGGCCAGAAAGATGATTAAGGGACTGGAGCTTCTGTCATGTGAGCAAAAGCTGAGAGAGCTGTGACAGATAAGACTGGAGAAGCTGCTGGAGTACTCTGCAATGGGACTGTGTGCTTTGTGGACAGCAATGCTGATGCACTAAAACTCTGCAGGGTGCAGAAAATTACATGCTGACAGACCACTGTAAATGAAGAATCGCATGGATGAAGCAGAGGCCATTTCAGTGGACTCAGACAAATCTTTCTTCTCCTAACTCAGGAGAGTTTCTCATGGTCTTCACAGGGGATCAGTTCCTGTCCCTGCACTGCTTCTCTGTAAGTCTCTACAAGTGGTGGGGAGGACTGAGATATGATAAATACTCAAGAGCACAGCTGAGTCATAGTGATTTCATCTGCTCAGCAGGATCCTGGGTGCAGGGCCCAACTTTGTCTGCACACAAACACAGGGAAGGCTACCCAGAGGCACTAACAGGAGCCATGGGGATACTGACAGGAGGCTGTAGGGCCAGTTTCTGTGGGCAGCAATGATACCAGCAGTACACTAATGCTGAGTGCTGCTCTGGCACTAACACAAGAAGTGGGTGTTGAGAAATTGGAGCAAGCTGAGAGAAAAAGCTCATGTGAGCAACAGGCAGACATGGAGACATGAGGGAAGAAGCAAAGGGAAATGTGCCTGTAATGTGACTGTCTTTCTAGACAAAGGAGAGGAGAGGTGACTCTATCCATAACTACTTGACAAACAGGTGCAACAAGACTGAATAGGTGGGGGATAAGGAGCATCAAGATGAGAGGTAACATGTAGACATTTGCCAGTGAGGTAATTAACTACTGGAGTAAATGACTGGGGTATGGCAGATACTCTTTCTAGGCAATATCTAACTTTCTTGAAATGAAATTCTGATTTTGTACAGCAGACAATAATGGGTGTAACCAGACATTATTAATGGAAGCCCTCTACACAGCAATATGCAGGTGTTGCAGCAGATAACAATCACAGCCCATTCAGTCCTCACACTGATGTCTCAACATGCCACAGATTGAACAGCTTCAGGTCTTGGGTTTCCACTGTTCCTTGCTCTGCAGTTCTATTCTTTCCCATAGTTAGTTCCTTTTAGCCCTGTAAGAACGAGGACACTGTGAAAGAAATGCTCTTTGGCCACTCTGGCTGCTCTCTCACTTAAAAAGAGCAAGTTGGCTGCAGGCTGGCATCCTTCAGGGCAGTGAAGACCGAGTGCCCAGTAGCCTCTGGTAGTACTTATATTGCAGTACACTGACAACAGAGAGCGTTCTCCATCAGAGAAGGCGAAGGTCTATCTCAGCCCTCAAAAACAAGGTGAGCCATCAGGTCCACCCTATTATAGGGAAGGCAGTACAAAAATAATTTATTTGTTCTGACACCATAAACGCATTCCTGATAAATAACAGTGCCCGCGAAGCCACGTTGGAAAAGCTGTATAGGGGTGCTTCTATACTGCCCTTTTCCCCATGGCTACCCCTTCCCTACAACTCGAAGCCAGTGGGGAGGGAAGGCAGCTGTTGTCTGATTTGAGGGCAGGGAAGGTGGGGCTCCCCCACACTTGTAGGTACTGTGAGATTTCCCAGCTGGAACCAGTGACCCAGCCCAGTTTCTGGGGCACCTCTCAAATCCCTGGAGAAAGGAGGAAGAGATTTCTTCTGGCTGCTGAGGAAAATGTCACATGGAGGGAGGAAACAAGTCTGTCAAGTACAGTATCCTGTCTCTAGCAGGGCCTAAAGCAGCCAAGAGAGGAATGAGATTAGAGCAAGCATACCTCGTGCCTTCCCTCCAGTTTCCCAGCTTCCAGGCACTTTGCAAGGCAGATGTGATTCCTGTGTGGAAAGCCCTGCAGCATTTACCATCCCCAACATGTTTGTGTGGCCACCTAAGCGTATTTTATCTGTGTGTGCATACATACCAATTGGGAATACATGCTCAGCCTTGCTACTGGATGAACTGGTGGACAAATTGCTGCAGCAGCCTCACCTCTATCTGGTTACAGAATTTAGCAACTGTGACCACTGGCATCACATACAATTTGCACGCCTTCCTAACAACTGCAGAATTAAGGCCACTATGGACTTTAGATTTAGTAACACTAAAGCCTCTCCCCAGCCTCTATGATATTTAGGCAAACATGATCACCTTGTCATGGCAGAGAGGAAGAACGCTGGGAGCTTGCGTGGCTTACTTTGAATTTTGCACCTGGATATGGCTAAGGCCCACTTCTTCCTCCCCAGCATGGAAATGCCTGCCTGTCTTGTGTGGCCTTGAAGGGACTGATTTATTGCACATGGCTCTGAGACTCTTGGGCGGAACTGTATTTGCAGGGCCAAATGGCTGTAGCACAGAGGGTTTCCTCTGCCTGCTGCCTCTGAAAGGCAAACAAACGCAAGCAAGTTCTGGGAGGCAGCCATATTACTTTGCAGCTATAACTTACACATTGATGCGATCATATTTGCTGTTGCTCTCTGGTGGTCTGGGAACCATAGTGCTGCCAGTTTTGTCGGTGAAAAGATGATAAGGGGCTGTGCCAGTGCACAGAGGCATTGCCCAATAAACAGGTACCAGTAAGTCTGGGAACCCAAGCCCAGGAACTTTAGGACACTGAACATCCGTATGATGCTACCCGTCATGTTCAGCCATGCACTCAGGATCACCTGCAACAAGCAGAAACAGCCAGGGGTTGTGTGCTGAAGCCTGAAGGGCAGAACTTAATGCAACAGAGCAGTATGAACATGATCTCAGATGCACTACACGAGACACTGGGTGCTAGTAATCACTTCATGGAAAGTTGCCTGCAGACGACCCCCACCCCTTTGGCCACTGCAAGATGTTCCTGATTCAGCACTGAGTTACCTGTCTCCTTGGGGAGCAAGATGGCTGTCCTGGCCCCACATGAGAACTATACCACAATGTAGCTTATGCAAGGCACCAGACATCATTGTCATGGAATTGATGAGAAATCCAAAGTTCACTAATTACACTCCTTTTGCAAGTTTGCACCATCACTCATATTTTGTTGTGACAATGCAAAGATCACAGCAATGAGTCATCCAGCATTCAGCTCCTGTAAGTGCTCTTCTATACCAGTAGCATGCCAGTGTTTCAGTGCCACATTACACAATACTCTTGCTTCTGGGAAGACTGTAGAGATCCCAAGCTAGCTTAGCATAGACTCTGAGCTGATAGGGGTCCCTTACTTGTACACTGCCCTGCTCCTCCTTAAACTTGCCCTGCAAACAAAATAGCTGTGCTAACACTTTTCCATAGGAAACCTAGCCAATTACAGCAAGCTCTTGACAGAGTCAGCTCAGCATCTGTCCCTGTCAGTTGCCAAAGAGAACAAAAACTAAAGCAAGGAAAGGTGATGCAACATTATTCTGATTTTTCCCACTGCTCCCCACCTCAGAGGTGATGTGACAGCTACTACTGAACTAAGAGCTTCTAACATGCCCATGCTCTGCAGCATTTGGCAAGATTTCCATTCACAGTATGCATGTTAATGCCATTAGCAGTGCAGCTACTGCTATCTCCAGGTGAAATAACCTCAAGCAAACAGAACAGTTCAACTCACAGCACATCTGAGCCCCACGGTGTCAAGTACCCATGTTGCCACCAGACCAAACGGGATCGAGATGAGGAGGTACACTGTTGAGAGCCAGTTGACCAACTCCGGGGAAATGTGGAAGTAGGCAGCTGTCTTATCAGCCACAGGAGCAAATGTCAGCCACAGCTGCAGAGTAGAAAACGAAGATGGGTAAGCATGAACACTGCCACCACAACAGAAATTCAGTATCCCCTCAAACTGTCTGAGTTGTGAAGGGACTCATTATCTTTGTCTCTCCTTGAAATTAGGATGTTAAGGTTGGTAATAAAAATTCAAAACTCCAGTGTCTGCAGTTACTCATGCTAGGATGATATTACCACTGATATCATTGTTATCTTGGCTCAGAACACCCCATCCATTTCTTTACCTCATCCCCAGTCCCCCTATCCCTGTTGCTGCAAACTGGCAGAAGCAGAGGTCAGTACCTTTTTTCTGTACCCAGTTTGAACATGTTGGCTCCCGAAACACTTACTTACCTGATGTAAGCCACAAGCAATCCTTCTGTAGTAGCATAAACAAAACAGAGGCTGCCATCTCGTCTCTGCAACTAAGAGCCTTTTAAACTCAGCCTGGTATTTATAGTTGTATTGGCAACCCCTGGATGTGGCTTTGTAAGAACAACTTTGCTATGTGTCAGCCAAGACACATATTATTCCATGCTGTGCCACACACACACAATGGTTAGGAAAGGGCCTAAGAATTTGCATCAATAATATATCAGAACACACAACAGGGAAACACAAGAGGTATTTCAATAACTGTTCATCTCTTCCTTCCAGTGCCATATCTGAAAATATTTCCCTAAAGCTTGTTCTAGGCACTGGTTTCATAAGCTTGCTGTCTTCTGTGAATGACAAGGCCTGCTTTGATCCTCAAATCAGGTCCTGAGATCATGCCCACAAGAAAGAAATGAGAGTACTACCCCAAATTTAAGGATGTTTCTGTGGATTCTTTGCAAAGATGCCCTCTCCGGTACTTTTCAACAAGACTGGCCTAACCTGAGGACAGGTTTCAATAATGTGGATGCAAGCTACTCCACTGTTAGAAGATGATCTTGCAGCTGCTGAATACTCTGGATGATAGAGTTTGCAGAAATGTGAATAAAAACTTCCTATAACAGAACTCCAGACACTGTCTCTTTCCTGGTACGCCTCTTTGCCATGATAAGCTTCCTCTTCACAGCCTGAATCCTGCAGACAGGCTCAGCTGCAGCATTAATGTATAACTGAAAAAGGGCTTGGGTGACTTCAGAGGAATGTGCGTCCCTACACTCTGCTACTTGTTACTTCCAGTGTTCCTATTTACTTCTTATGTGCTAGAGACCATAAAAACTACCACATTAAGTGGAGACAGAAGGGGAGGTGGGCTCTTCTTCTTTCTTAGTGTCACTGTGAGAGAACAGCCACATGCAAATCATTGTTCAGAGAAGCTTTTCTCCTAGAAGGGATGTAATCAGGAAATGGCAGTAACAGAGAAGTTTTGAATGTATTATCAGTGTCCTAGCACAGACTCTCAGCATCAGCCCTTTCGTCTTCTCTCAGAGCAGCTGACATGCCAGATCTCATATATTCAACACAAGGCTCAGACACACCCCAGTGGGCTCATTCAGAAGTCTGGCATGGGGTGGAATTGGTGTTTACTCAGCTTCTACAAGCAGGTGGATGAAGATGCTGTGTGTTGAAGGAACCTGTACTCTTGTTAGACAACAAGGAGGCCAGGTCACTAGAAGACTGGCAGCAGACTTCTAATAAAATAAGCTTTTTAAAAATTTATTGAAATAATAATATTAGAGTGGAATGACACTACCTTCTCAGCTCATGAAGAAATTTCAGCCACCTTTGTTTTTCCAGAACTGATCTGCATCAGATAGGGATAGGAATTTAAATGTTTAATGCTAATGTAACTGCTTAAATGTTACAAGCATCACTAAGGCACAAGCACTAGTTTGATTATGGGATGCTAAATTGATGCTAAACAAACCCCTGCTGTTTATTTCCAGCAACAGTAATTCTCAGTTCCTCATTGCCTTCCAGATGTGGGTGGTGGTGATGAAACACTGTACCAGGAAACAGTGCAATTAAAGCGATTATACATTTCGTAAACTGGCTTCAGGTACATTTTCACCCCTCCCATTCCTCCACACAAGATGCTCACCCATGCATGACATCATTTTGTGTTCAGTGGCTGTATACCTCTAGGCAAGCTGGGATCAAGCACTCTGGCATGTTTTCATTAAACCTAGTAAAACAATTCCTTTCAGAAAACCAAAAATTTGGGCTGCCCTATATTTCTATCCTGAGCAAGAGCTCCAGTTCTAGGGTATGTGTGTGAGACCACAGAAGGTGGGAAATTGCAGGTCTGTCCAAGCCTGAGTTTGTTCTTCAGAATGGGAGGTGGGTTTCTTTACTGGCCTGGAGAGAAAAAAGTATGTTTCTGCCTCCATTTATGCAGGGGTTGTTTACCATGTGCTGCTCTAACAGAGAAATTAAGAACTGGGCAATGGAGCTTGAGGTGTAGCTGTGGTCAAAGTGGCTGCCAAGTGCTCCTGCAACAAAGAGATGGCATTGTGGGGTTTTGCCAACCCAGGGAGGGAAATTGCCATGCTAAGCAAGTGAGTATGCCACCTTCTGCTTTTCGTTTTCCCAGCTGTGATGACTTCATCCACAGCAGTTAGCAAGCTCTTGTGCTGGGAACTAGAGCCCTTATCCTCCATGTTATTTCTGAAACTGCACTGCCAAGGCTAGTACTTAAGCAGGGACTGCCCTGATACATGTTGCCCTGGGCAGAACAGGGTGAGGATTATGCAGTTCTTTCCTGGTGAGGTCCAAACCCTGTAATCTCTAAAGATGCAGAATAGAGACTGAGAGAGGTTCCTCTCTCCTCCGCTCCCCAAGGGCCATTGTCTTAACTCACTTTGGCACACCAAAACCAGTATCAAAGCTCCCTGCTGTAGATCACAGTGACAGATGCAGGAGAAGATGTAATGTGTGGGGTTATAGGATGCAAGCCCCCAAAAGATGGATGCTCCTGGGACAGAAAAAATGAAGGAGAAACAGACACTTCTGTTCTTGCAGGGTTGTCTACACATTTGTTCAGTCCCTGCACAAGCCTCACTTTGTGGAAACATGCCCTTGTGATCTGGTCAAGCTGCTCTCAGCTCCATTGCTTTTGTAGCCACACAGACCTAGAGCCTCAGTGCAGAAAGCATCAAGGGGAGTCTGGGTTATGCATTGCACTACTATGTCCATGTCCACATGTAGTCGTCTGAAGGTAGTTCAATGGATGTCACAGCAGCAGAACTGAGAGTCCAGCCCCTTATCAATGTCTTTTCCTGATTTGCAATGGTGACAAACAATTTCCATTCACCCACTACGGCTTATGTCCCTTCTGAACTCTGTCATGGCTATAATTAATCAAAACCTTTTAGCAAACTTTGACAAAATTCCCAGCTTAGCACCCCACATATCAGGAATATCTTGTCTCTGAGGCTTGAAATGCACCCAGCTCTGAGTCCCACACCTTGACTGCTCAACAGCTACCTTGTGCAGTCACCACAGTAGAACAAAACTGGGCTACTTAATGAGTTGGAGTGGATGGCGTCGGAGGTCAGCAGGAGTCTGGCCTCTGGGCCATGGCATAATTAGGTCAAGTCACTTTATGCACAAGCCCACAGAGAGCCTCTCAAGCACAGGGACTCTTGCCTTTGAACACCAAACAACCACAATGGGTTCATGAACCCAACTCCCTAATACTTGGCAAAACTCACTTACCAGCATTACCTCACAGATTTTGCATTGTTTGCTCTCAAATGACAGCTCCTGCTGTAGTATAATCCAATATCATTGGCCATGGTCACTCATAGAATCATAGGATGGTTTGGGTTTCAAGGGACCTTAAAGATCCCTGAGTTCCAACACCCCTGCCATAGACAGGGACACCTCCCACTAGCCCAGGTTGCTCAAAGCCTCATCCAACCTTGAACACCTCCAGAGATGGGGCATCCACAGCTTCTCTGGGCAATCTGTTCCAGTGCCTCACCACCCTCACAGTAAAAAATTTCTTCCTAATATCTAATCTAAATCTACCCTCTTTCAGCTTAAAACGGTTACCCTTCATCCTATTGCTAAACACCCTGATAAAGAGTGCCTCCCCATCTCTCCTGCAGGCCCCCTTCAGGTACTGGAAGGCTGCTATAAGGTCTCCCCGGAGCCTTCTCTTCTCCAGGCTGAACAACCCCAACTCTCTCAGCCTGTCCTCATATAGGACACGCTCCAGCACTCTGATCATCTTTGTGGCCCTCCTCTGGACTCACTCTAACAGGTCCACATCCTTCCTCTCCTGAGGCCTCCAGAGAGCTGGATGCAGTACTCCAGGTAGGGTCCCACAAGAGCAGAGTAGAGAGGGACAATCACCTCCCTCGACCTGCTGGTCACACTTCTTTTGATGCAGCCCAGAACATGGTTGGCTTTCTGGGCTGCAAGTGCACATTGCTGGCTCATGTTCAGCTTCTCATCAACCAGCACTCCCGAGTCCTTCTCCTCAGGGCTGCTCTCAATCCCTTCTCCTCCCAGCATGTATTTATGCTTGGGATTGCCTCAACCCACATGCAGGACCTTGCACTTGGCCTTGTTGAACTTCATGAGGTTTGCATGGGCCCACCTCTCTAGCCTGTCAAGGTGCCTCTAGATGGCATCCCTTCCCTCCAGCGTGTCGACTGCACCACACAGCTTGCTGTCACCGGCAAACTTCCTGAGGGTGCACTTGATCCCACTGTCCATGTCTCTGACAAAGATGTTAAACATCTTTGTTGTAGGCCATAGTACTTGATCCTTCACCATTTGGGATGGACTCTTCACTCCCTTCAGATATGCATCTTGCAGGATGTTGAAATAGCTGCTGTAATAACATACACCATTTCTTCTCCAAATGCAGGAATTGGAGTACCCACACGCCTCTCCTCAGCTAAAGCCTTAGAAGCATGTTCATCTCACTGTAATTTCTGAGTTTAGAGACAGAAAAAGCTACAGTGCATTCTAGTCTGGGCAGGAAGTCATACCTCAGCACACTCTCTTCACTATGAAAACTTGTGCTCTACACAGTGGGCACAGCAAATCATGAGGAGGACA